TTCCTCATTAGAATTTGTTCTTTGGAAAAAAATTTTAATTAATTCCATATTTGTTCTTTTTCAGCCAGAGTCTCTGGATGTCTTGCCCATAAGATAAGGAATATTTTATCTAAGAAATGTTTCCTTTTAACTCCAATCCATTCAGGCTCAGGCTGTTTCAAAGTCAAAAGTTGTACAATGATTTATGCAAATTGTATGCCATTTTCTTAGCATGATTTAAAATCCATGGATTTTTGGAGGCTAAATATATTTTTTCTGAAAAGCTAATTTTGTCCTCTTTCAAATGAGATATATATGTTATTTGCCGGCTGGGAGGTCCGTATGATGAAAAACTGTGACCGAGGTCTTGAAAAAAATACTTTTCAAGACTGAGGTCACAGTTTTTCACCATACGGACCGACCCTTAGCCGGTAAATAACATATTTATTGTTTTTAAACTTGACGAAATTCTTTCCGAAAGAACCCGAATGACTTATGGCCGTAAATACGGCAAGATCTTCCATCAACTGAACAATTTTTGAGTGAGTAAATGGTAGTTAAAATAGAGGTGATGCAAATTTAAGAGAGATGCCTCAGCGAAACATTTTCATTTCCGTAACGATAAAGGTGATTTAAAAGGCTTCCTAACAAACTTTGAAACATTATTTTTACAAGTATCTGTCACAATCTGACACCTGTCAATTAGAGAGCGCGCAAGAAAAAAAAAATCGTAGGAACATTTGAAAACCAACAGAACTAGTTTGGCAAGGACTGTCACGACAATGTTTTCTTAAAAATCAGTTAATGATCTAACGGAAAGTATTATTTACTCTCATCGACCATTCATTCATGTACGAAGATTTACCTCTGTTCATTAAGTAAACGGCGAGGAAAGTAATTGTGAGTAAATTCAATTTTTTATTTTGAAGTTGTGAGAGTTTGCTCGTTTGTTTGCTGTAATGGCGTGTTTAACTCTGATCTTTCCTTCACAAAAACTAAATTCGAACGGCACACTCCAATGAGACACAAGGGAATTTAATGCAGCCTTTTCTCAATTCCTTCAATTTCTGTTCGTGCAATTTAAGGTACAAATGTCCAAATTGAACGGAATTGGAAAGACTCACCAGGAGCTTATATTTGTCGTAGAACTTAAATTAAAACTTCGCTCGCTTTTTTTTTTACTATGAACAAATTGCTCGAGAAAATGCAGATATTAAATGAATGAAAGTTCCATCGTTCAGTTTAACTGTAACCAAATACCTCACCTTTCAACTTTCTGGGTACTTTTTGTGAACGATTAAAATTAATTGCAGACGGTTTTTAGGCCGCTTGTCAACCAACGTAATGACACTATTGTTTATGCAAATTCATTCTGAAACCAATTTTTTTCTGTCAACTAAAGTGATTTGATAGAGAGAAAAGGGAGGATTCATAAGTTATTTATCGGCTTGAGGTAGTGACCGACGTGTTTGCTTAAAAATACTGCCCAGCTGGAAAACGAGGTATAGTTATGAAAAATGACAACGAAAGTTGGGATGTACTCGGCGACTCAAGAAAGCGTTACCGTGGCCCGTGGGCAGAGATAGGAAAATACTGACCGGGTAAAGAACCAATCAGATTGCAAGATTCGTTACCGTGCCCTCTAAAAAAACAAAAAATAGCACTAATCACTAGTGTAAATACTGTTGACAAAAAAAATAAAAGAAAAAAGGTTACCATCATTTGTCATTTTTTTTAGTCAACTATAGAGAGTTAACGCACCAAAGTTTGACAGGCTTTAACGGAATTCGAAATAGTTCTCTTGTGACTGACAACCGAAATATTTTCTATGGTCCAACTCTAAATTATTTTACTTTCACGAACAAACAGGACTATCAAAAAAGCCTCACACACTTTTTTAGACTATTATCTGCTGAGTGACATAATCCAGTTTGTCTGGAGGTCCGAGGTAACGCGGAGGCTGGCTTTCAGTAAAGCAAATACCGTCAGTTTTGTGTTTAAGGGCTCGTAGGCGCCTATCAAAACAAAAGCTGTGAGAAATTTTGCTATTTTAGTAATCTTTTTTTATTATTATTTCATAAGCTTTACAATGATACAGAAAATAATGCATGGGCACGCGTAAATATGGAATTTCTCTTCGAGTGTTTAACTCGATAGCTCACGAGTGAGCGCAGCGAACGAGAGAAATGTTGAATTGAACACGAGAAAAGAAATTTCATACCTACAAGTAACCACGTATTATTTTGTTTATCATATCAACATAATAGCCCTTTACTGACAAGACAAGTCAGCTTTATTAATAAATGAGAATAAAAGGATCGCCAAACGTTGAATAAAAATCGTAAAGTGCGTTGGCGCTAAGGCTCAAGATGAAAACATGCGTTGTAACATTACGAAAACAAACAATAGGCGTAATTTTCCATATACAAAATCCTCAGACAGTGGCTTGGTCCTTACCGACAGAAGAAATCCTTCAGGTACACGGCTAAGATCGGCCTGTGGCAAATCTTTCAGTTGTCGATTTTCGTTCTCAGCCGCGAGAAATGCCATTAGCAAAGCGACTGAAAAAGTAACTTTCGGTTTTTCTTTCCGTATTTTTGTTTTTTCCCCTTCTAGGAAAGTTTGAACGTCACTGTCTGTAAGCGATACGGATTTTCAATGTTTTAGCTATAATCCAAAAAAATTCCGACAAACGACCCTGGATTGAGTATAGTGAAGGTTGACCGAGTGGCGCGAAGGGGGAGTGTCGGGCTAGCAGCTGCAGCTGATTGGCGATATCAAACACACGAAAAAAAAATCGATATTTTTCCATGTGTGTGTTCCATGTGTGTGTTCCATGTGTGTGTTCCATGTGCGCTCGTTCGATTTTGAAATCACTCGTATGATTTCAGCCCAAATTGCACGGCACGAGGTTCAATTACCACTTTATAACATCCATTTTGAAATCGCCTAAAAAAAGGACTTGGTCAGTTCAAATATTTTATTGATGCAGTACTGAGCTAGTTTGAAATTAAATTCATCCATTTTTGTGGGGGAAAAAACAAGAGTTTTGGAAACAAAGGTTGCAAAATTTACCACATGATACTCTTTGTCTTTCATTTTCCTGCAATTAGATTGGTTACTTTATACAAGCCTTGAAATCTGATTGATTGTTTTGTTTTCAATGTAGCCTCCTCATTGGCTGGGAAAATGATACAATTTAAAGCAAAAAATGGTGCGATTCGTGAATAAACCACACCAATTAGAGCCAATCAGATTACAGGGACCACCAGTGATTTCAAAATGGATGTGATAGAGATAGTTAATTTTTCGTGGTTTCTTTAAAAGTAGCGCGCTTAGATAACAACTGTGAGCTGGTCACTATGTTGGTTCGTATATTCACAGTTAATTACTCATCACTTCACGGCTTTATTTGGAACCAATATACATAGTGACCAGAGCACTGCGCCGGTATCGTAAGGGTCATGGGTTCAAATCTCGTACAGGCCTGAATCTTTTTCAGGCCTTATTTTCACTACCGCTTAAGTAGTGTTTGTTTCTGTTCGCTTTCATATTCAAGTTAGATCTTGTGGATGTTTGAAAAGGGATATTAGCAGGAAATACATGTCTGCTCTATCTTAAATCTGCATTGGACCACAAACTTTTTAGTGATGTTTCAGCTGTTAAACTGTCTCTTACTGATAAGGACCTGATAGTCACGCATTATATTCCTTGACCCTTTAGCTCCAAGAAGTGATTAACACGTAAATTCTCCCTATAATATCCATACATTATCCAGCAAACGGGTAATGAGAATACTCAAACTTGTAAGGTTGAAGTTGTTATCTTGATTTAACAGCAGATTCTTTTGACTAATTTACAAGGAAACGTGTAGCAGCTAGAGGGGAGAATTATCAATCAGATCTTGGGAGTTAAAGGGTTAACATGTGATTTTTTATTCAAAGGGTTGTTGTGCCTTTCTGCAATTTGTTTTTTTGATTTTTTGTTTTTTTTTTTTTACATAGCTTCAACATTTACGTATGCATTGCTGACTTACTTACTTATCGGGATAATGTATTTACACAGAGATCAGAAATTAGTTTACCTTTCCTTTCTTTGTTTACCAGCCATTTTGTCTTAGAAGTGGCCATTTATGTCTTAAGAAATTTATATGCACTTCGATCTGGCAAATGATAATGATAAATACCGCCTTGTGTGTCAAGTGTCACTCTACAATCACAGCTCCCGGCCTCAGCAACGTTCTGATCACGAGCGAAACCTAGAGATTGATCGCATTCAATACGTGTACCATTTAATATATGCAAGGTTTCGTGACTACTAATCAACCAATCACAATCGTCTTTAAAGGAAAGGAAACTACGGGTGTAAACCAAATTTGGTTAATATCTCGCTTAGTTGCAGCCACCCTTGGCGATTTAAGATAAAGTATAAAGTCATCGACAAAGACCATTTCCTTGTTAAATACAAGTTGCTTTTCTGTATTTCGAGTTTGTGCTAGTGTACTGAATTATGGGCTTCTAATATGCCATGATTGGCTTTGTAGTCGAAGTGGCAGTTTTTAAACCTAACTGGTTTAATTTGATTGTATACTGGTAAACAGGAGAGTTTTGTCCAAAGTAGTAGACTTCTGAGCCTTACGTAAAACTGTATACAGTTTTACCTAAATTTTTTTTGATTTACAAGTTTATAGGGTCTAACTGGCATGAACGATTGGTACATGTACATTTGGGGGGGGGGGGTATTGTTCTAAAGATGTGGACTTTCTAACTGACAGTTGTATGCAAAGTTTGTTTGATATGTTAGTTTAGCAGCCTAATTGACATGGTCGATTTGTGCACGTGCGTATATTTTGAAACTTTAGTCCAAAATAGCTGACTTTCCAGTCCAACTAGCAGTGTAATGAAATGTTGTGCAGATTAAGGCAAGTTTGAGTTCTCGTGCGTATATGTAAATTGACTTAAAAAATACTCTTTCATTTCTCTTTACACCCTCCTGGAACTGTTTACATGATTCCGAAAGGACATCACCCAAGCATCCGCGGAAGCGTGTTCTACCGGTCAAGAACCGGTCATTGGTTGTGAGATCACATGGTTAGTTTAATCACTTTTTTCACTTCTTGTAACATTGAATCTTGCGCTTTTTGCCAAACTGATTAACTCTTTCAATGACATCTTTTCCTCATTGCCCTTTGGTTAAACTTCTCTTTCCTTAAAACTGAATGACTTTACAATTGGGAAGACTTACTCAGATCGGATAGGAATTAAGGTTACAATGCTTTTAAAGGTGCCACGAGCTGGGCGGTCAATCTAAAACTTTTCGGAGCAAATAGCACCTAACCACTTGCCAACAAATCAGATTTAACCAAGTACATTTCTTCTTACTCTGAAAATATGCTCCTTCGAGTCATTTGCTCTTTTCTGAGCGACTTTCTCCTCAATTTTCGTATATTTATAGTTACGATTTAAGGTAACCAAGTTGAAATAAGCGGTATAAACATTGAAAGAAAATGTCGGCTGACTTAAAAATAATCAAGTAAGAGATCTACGAAGGAAAATCTGCATAAAGGCTTTCATATAAGAACAAGATAAACAGAAACGTTGGAGAAGAAACTATGTACCATATCATTAACATTCACTCAGATATGGTAAATGTTGCATAGACATCGCACAAATTTAAAAAAAATGGCCTTTTAGAAAGACTGATAATGGCCTCTAAAGATCACTCCTAGAAACAGCTTCCTTGATGCAGTTCACAAAATTTGTCTCAGTCTACTTCTTCGATTCCATGTCCTTGGTGTAAAAAAAAAAATTAGGTCATAAAGAAGTCACCAAACTGAAGATCACCATCAGTGGGGAACTGGTCTAGACACCCCATGTGTCCAGGCTTGGAACATTTGGTCCAAACACCCGATTTGTACAGCGCATCCCCATTTGCGTTTCCTATAACTTGCCAATGCTCTGCATGATGATACATGTTGGGTCCATATCGATTACGAGAGGAAAGAGCTGGATTGCGCGCGCCAATGACCCACTGACCAGCAAACATCACTTTAGTGGGCTGCTGACCATTAGCTACAAGTATCTCGGCCTCAAGAGTCGGTCTTCCCCACAAGTCAACAGTCCAGCCATTTCCTTTGATCTTAAAAATGCCAGATTTCATGCGTCCATTTGTGCAGCATTCTGTTCCTTTTTTATCTATAAATTTATAGCCTGCCGCTTCAAATCTTGGACGAAGATTTTTAATTGCTGTGTAGTTGTCTGAAATAAAGAAGATGTCAGCGTCCCGCTCCCAAGGCAACACCTTTTTTAACTTAACAGCACCTTCAACAGAGAAAAATTAAAGTTGATTAACTTGAACTGTTTCACTTAAAACTTTCTTAATGCCATCTTGGGATGACCATGGTAATGGTGGCACTCTAGCCACCTCAAAGTTAGAGGGGAGGTTTCCAGATGGTATTACTCTTTTCGACATCAATAGAAACAACTGTCATTGACACTAAAATAACTTTGTTGTCTTTTCAACAAAACAAGAATATCTATTATAAACGAATTCTTAAAAAATATCAAGGACTAATATAGGTCAGAGCGACCTTCTCCTGTCATTAATGTTTCTTCTATCAGTAAGACCAACCTATGTGGATCCTGAAAAGGCAACGGAGTCTATTTAAACTGCACGTCCCTCAAATATAGTAGTCACATGAGCACATTACCTAATAATGTTCCTGCATTAAGTTGACAGTAAATCCCAGCTTTCTCACATTCATTCAGGATAAACTTGACTATGTCAGCGAGATTCTCCAAGTCACAAGGAGGAACAGTGAGTCCTTTGGCTCGAAAACGACAAGAAGATTTACCGCTATGTGCATGTCCACCTCTCCTGCATCCATACCAACGCACTCGTCCATTAGACTCCACCCATTTCTTCAAATCCCATTTTTTAGCCAAGGCGACATATTTTTCATCTGGAATTTCTCGCTCGTAAGTGTCGAACATGACATCAGGGCAGCTGGCAACAACTTTCTCTGGATGTTTGAGTTTTAATCGCCAGAATAAATCTTGAAAGGCACCGAAATGTAGTCTAGAAAAGCAAGAAATAACAAATGAAATCTTGAGGTGTTCACTTTGAAAGGAAATTCACACTCTTTCTATGGCTCCATCCCATTGAGAGGTGAGGTGGGAGACTTGTCCAATGTTTCCTGGTCGAATTGGAATTTAGAATGTTAAGACTACATTATGCTTTTTCCTTAATCCACATTTTTAAATATGGGTATTGAAATACCCAGTACCGTGAACCAATTCAGGCCTGTAAATGCAGCCTTCGGGTTATACACACAACCGAAAACGAAGCTCCTAAGTAACTGTTGACGGGCTTTCATTCCAGCGAGCTCAAAGAAACAAGTTGTATGTGGACACAAACAGTTCAGAAAGCACCTTCCTCGTCTAAAACTTCTCTCCCTAGCATTTGTCCCTATTCCCCTCATGTAGTGGTAAATTTATATAAAGAACTTAAATACAAACTTACCTTCTATTAATTCCAAGTTCCTGGAGTTCTTTGGTTTTTGCCATAAATGGACCAAGCAGCACATCACATTGTACACAGTCATTAAATGAGTGGTAATACCCATCTGAAAAGTATGCAGTCCAATTTCTGAATTGCACTTGACGACAGCTATTGTCCCACTCCCCCCGTTGATTCTTTTGGCTTCCCCCTACAAGGATGGTATCCCTGTTCTCACTCAGTACCCGTACAAGGCGTTCAAGATTAACATCATCAGTGAAGTAAGTGATATCTGGTGCAAAGAGTGCATAGGGTGTGGCCACCATCTTGAGTAACTCAGACCATGTTTGTCCATGTGTAAGGTCATCAGATCCTATGTGCTTTAAATTCAAACTTGGTTCTTTCAGCCTCTTTAATAACCGTAAAGTTTTTCTTGACACAAATATTACAGGAACACTTGGATAATATGTGGCAATGCCTTCAAAGACTTTTTGTAGCTTTTCAGGTGATAGTTCCCTTGGTGACGTTAAAATCATCGTCACAAGTTCATCGATTGGAACAAAGTCTGTGCAATTTTCCCCCTGGAAGCCTTTCCTATAAAATGGATACCCATAAGTAGAATCCTTTCCCATGAATTTCTCAGGACAAACCTCTCTCTTTGTAACATGAGTTTTTGAAGAGGAATCGCCAGGAACTTTGTCTACATGCTCTGATTGTCCATCTACGAATTTTATCATTTGCTTCACATGTTGAATATGTCGTTTAACACGGTAGAACTGCCGTTGCGAATGTATCAAGCCCTCTTGTGTCTCAAAAAGTTCTACTAGTAAGCGCCGTAGTTTTCTTGCAAAGCCCCTAAGTTTCTCTAAGTGCTTTAAATCGTTAGCCAATGCTCTGGGACGACTCTTAGTGCGGACGTGAAGATTTGATGAGAGATATATAATGAACAAAATAGTTACGATGGCGAGTACCAGGTAGAGATGCTGCATTCGACCCATAGTAATGCTATTTAATACATTGATATAATCAAGTTTTACAGTGAAGACTGTTTTGAAATGACATGAATGAAATCCTTCCTAAAATTCTATGAAAAAAAAAGGACCAAAGTTAAAATTCATCCTAAACTGCCTATATGTAGAAGATCCAATAATGGTCTGATATCTCAGCAATATCTCAAATTTCGAGGTTATCACAAAGAACACTTGGATCGTTTCTTTTTCGCTGTTTTTGGTCTCTGGCACACGTTTGGTAGGATCGATATATGCTTAAAGAGGGCCACGTGATATACCAATGAGCTACCTGATGACACGTCTTAATTATTCAGTACGTTGATCGACTGTTGACTACTTTAGAAAATCTCGAATTTCATCATTCAGTGAGTGAGGAATGGCTCTCCTGAAAGGCACAATTCATTTATATCGAGCAACGGAGGAGAGGCCGATTGAAAGATGTATGTCAAGAATTAATTTCAGTATTTTACTAAAGAAATCTTATCGCCGGATTTTCTTGGTCATAAATACCAAGCCAAAATTTCGGGTTATATCAGCACAACAGCAGCTTAATCTGGAATAACCCTTGTAGATTACCTCTGGTAGTCAAATTAGTAATGAACTTTGCAAAATACTTGAAGTGAATTTATAACATTTCTGTTGACCGTTGGGGAAATTAACCTTCAAACATCAAGTGGCCGAAATATTTAACCGATAGCTGTAAAAGCCATTAACCCATTGAGACCATCATCTAAACAAACGTCCTCTGAAAAAAAACGTGGTTACTGGTTATGTTTTTCTTTTAACAGGTAAGACCCAAATTCGAGTCGGTATGTTCTTAGAAACTTGAAAAAATTTTACCTTGAACTGTGCGGGTGTGGGCCGGCATCAGTTATTTTTATCAAAACTTACTTTGATAAGGTGAAGTCGACAGAAAGAACTCTTAAAAAAAAGACAAATGAATAAAGAGGGTACGTTTCTAAAGAAACTATGGTGCTGCGTCGGTGGAAGAGTATAACAGGGTTAATTAGGAGAAGAGGCTAATATCGAAACGTCAGCTTTGAAACTCTTTATTGTGGCCAATTTACGTTCTTAACTCAGTTGACAATACTAAATTCCCCTCTCCAAAAAATAATTGTATTTTGCTCCCTTTTTTTCGTCAGTTTTCTTGAATGTCTTACCAAATGATTGTAGCCATCCCAACACCGCAGAATAATGAAAGCTTTGCACAGGCAGTCTGCTAAAACGTTACTTAGTGATATCCTCTAAGTAACATATTTCTTAATTAAAAATTTGTTGAATTTATACTATGAAATTCACATTCTAATGTTTTCCATTCGTAAATCACTCTTTTTCTCAAAATGAGCGCCTGCTCGCAGACTGCTATGTAACAAATGGCAAGAACTTCCAAAACATGATTTTAAGTGGATCGTTTCATCCGGTTTTTTGCCTTTGGTTTCATTTAGCAAAGCGCAGCAAGCCAGTTGTAGTGGTCTCCCTAAAACAGTGCCCAATAATTTTCTTGAGGAAGACACCCACGAAGGTTTGGAGTAACCTTTACTAGGTCTCAGTGGATTGCGCGTGCGAGGAAATTCATGCAGGGCCTCGCTTTTAGATTTGGCTAAAACTATTCACATTCATAATGCTCGTGTGTTCGGTTAAGTAACAATTCAACGGTTAAGACTCACTTACTAGTCAGTTAGGCATGTAAAAAAAAAAATATATACTTCTCACGCTATCGTCGTCTTTTGTTGTCTTACCTCAGTGGAGTGTGCTGGAGTGTATAACACACAGGTACACACAGTAAATGGTTTAAACCCTGGAGAGAAAATGTTATCGTATAGTCTGACCGTCCGGGTGAGAGTAGTCCTGAAATAAACTGTTTTCGATAGTAGTTTTGAACAAGTCGACAACCTTGTTAGTGGAGTTTGACAGCTGGTCGCGTGTCGTGGTTCGCGGGTTTTAAAATGACTTGTTTTAGTGTTATTTGCTTTTGCTTTTTTTTCTGTTTGATTTTTAGAGGGTTGCTTATGCATGACGCACAGCAATATGACAATATTTTACTGGTTCCATAACACATTAGATAGTCTGTTAATGGGAACCACGCCTTCAAATGCTTTTACGCTCGACTATTTCAATAACTTATGCGCTAAGGGAAACTGTGCAGGCGCCTTATTTTCTTTAGGACGAGTTTACTTTGCTTCAGTTTTGGATAATGGAACGGGAACAACATGCTGAGGTGCCTGTGGGAGGTGCCCCGTATGAAACACGTTTTTAAATGTTTCTTCTTCCTTTTTTCTTTGCAAAACGAGGTAACAGTTCCCCCCAAATTATCCAAGGAATTTCGTGCACGCCTGTCTTCTTTTCCAACTGCTTCACGCTATTATCTCTTTCTGCCCCTATACCTTCCCGAAATACCTTTCTCCCGGCTTTGCCTATGCTAGTGAGGGCTTAGCCAGATATTTTGGTTTAATACATTTGAGAGGTTTTAGAGCGTAAGCAAAATCAATGGCCTTTGGATGCGTCTCAGTTAAGTTTCCGCTTCGCCTAAATGGTAAGAAGTTTTGAGAAACATATTGAGGAACAGAGAAAGATGTTTTTCGTCTTGTCACGAGTGTGAAACGTTCAGACGTTCGGATTCCGCGCTCCGATACTCTACCACTCAGCCACAGAGACATAGGAGCGCCACGTAATAAGTCAAGAAATGTTATTACGCTTACATTGTTTTATGCGAATCCTGCCAATAAGCTTACACAAACAACAATTTAAAAAACCTGCGACCTAGAAGGCGAGACATGAAAGACACAACCCGCGATACGCGACCATCAGTCAAACTCTTCTATGCCAGATTTGCCGTGATGTGGATGGCTGTATGACCCAATCAGCTTCAATCGGTCTTGATTGGTCAGGTTCGATCTGTCGGTAATGTACTTACTTACTATTATGTCCTATTTTTAGTAATGACATCACACAATTAAGGGGGCCGCGTCACGCTGTGATCTTGCACACTGAGTTCTTCCAGTTTGAGACTGAAAGACTTCACAAAGCTTTTGTTACGTAGACTAATCGACAAGAAGCAGAGCGTGTCGTTGTAACCGCCGATAATTGTGAGGTGTTTTGGTCACGTATGGTTGAGAATGATGCGAAGTAATTTTGATTCAAGATGTAGACAATTTTCTCTTTTGACAATAAAAATCAACGGTAAAACACGACATTTCGACCAAGCTTCGGTCATTTTCAAGTGACTGGCAAGAATGTAACGATGAATATATATGTGTGCGTGTAAGAAGTGTCAAATTTCTGGTGTAAGTGTAAACGGACAATAACAACTTACAAAAGAAGAAATAATTAGAAGCTAGTTAAAAACAAATAAAAATTGAAAAACTTAATTAAAAACCTTTGCACGAATTGAATCCGACTGCACATTGAGAGCAGGTCTCAGTTCTTGAATTAAAAAAAAACATTTCATAAAGTAGGCAGTCAAATTTTTTCGTACACTTCTTTGAAACTCTAAAATTCTTCGTAAGATCCCCTGAGGCCAAAGAATGCTTGTCGCGAAAATGCTTGCCAATGGATGCTAATCGACTTCATCAAGAGCTGAGACCTGCTCTCATATGCGGTCGGACTCAATCCGTGCAAAGGTTTTTAATTAGGTATTTCAATTTTTATTTGTTTTTAATTAGTTTCTAATTATATCTTCTTTTGTATGTTCATATTGTCCGTTTACACTTCCAAAAATTTTGCACTTCTTACACCCATTTATCTATTCATCGTTACATTCTTACCATTCACTTAAAAATGACCGAAGCTTGGTCGAAATGTTGTGTTTTACCGTTGATTTTTATTGTCAAAATTTTTACCAAATCGCTATTGATGAGAATTTTCTCTTCGATCGTTTCATGTGAGTTTCAGTTAATTTCAGGGCTTTCCTCCTTGACGAAGACGGAGCGGAAGGCTATGTTCTAAATATCTAAGGCAAGAATTAGAGTATAAGCTGACTCCTGCGCGCTTTATCGGCCAATGGACAGAACAAAACATAACAGCTTCCTACGGAGGACAGCTTTATTCAGAATAGTCCTTGAAAAACACGCTTAAAAGGTTCAGTGTTTTATTTTACAGGGGACGAGTTCGATGATATCAAGAAGTTGAATCAAGAACGCTTAAAGATAAAACTGGCTACTTCAGCGGAGAATTCAAACACATCATATTTCAATGACACGAACATCTTGTAAAAAACGACCGAGAAGTTTAAAAGCAACCGTTGAATGAATCAGTGTTTCTTATACTGTCAGATTTCCTTTCAAAAGGCTTCATCGTCTCTTTAAGAAGTGTCTGGGAAGGCGTCCGCCATTAAGATATATGCTAATCGTAGAGACACTAAGAAAAACATTTTGAAATTATTGCAAAGAGTATCCCATGTTGAAGTCTTAAGTAGCATTATTATCCCACTGACAAGTCAGCGAATGGAAGCCATATTTTTTGTGTCTTTAATTTCTTGTGCATATTACCGCTGCACACTCGGTCCCCGTTTTCCGTTCCCTGTTCCCCACTCTTTGATCTTCGTTTTAGATTTTAGTGATCAGTTTCCCAACTCAGCTGTAAATACTTCAGGTAATAAGTCGACTCCAAACTCGTAGAAGCCCATCACCCGGTATATGAAAAAGCCGATTGTTTTTTCGAACTACGTTGCGATCCAAGTTTACTTTAGGTGTGCGCCTTACGGCTCGTTGGTTGAACAAGCTTACGATGAAACTACTCCCACAGGCAGACCACATCATGTGTTCATGGCACGTTAATAATTGTTGACACGGACGAACAAAATCTATGAGGGTTATGAATAATGCTCTGAAAATTGCATATCTTAATTACATCTCGGTCTGAATATCTCAATGAAGTTAAATAAAATGTTAATCAACTCTTTTGTGGTATTTTTTCGCCTTCATGGGCCGTTTGAAGCGTCTTTTTACTTTTGTCTTTTTTAAGCCTAAATTTCCCATGCAATTTATTCA